CGAGGAACAGAAAACCAAACACCACATGTTCCCACTTGTAAGTGGGGGCCAAATGATAAGAACACATGGACACAGGGAGGTGAACACCACACACTGGTGCCTGTAGGAGGGAGGTGGGAGGGAGAGCATCAGGAAGCGCAGCTAATGGATACTGGGCTTAATACCTTGGTGATGGGATGATCTGTGCCCCAAACCCCATCGCACACGTTTGCCTGTGTGACACACCTGCACATCCTGCGCACGTACCCCTGAACTTAAAAGTTGAAGAAAAAATATATAAAATGATTTTTAAAATAGCCATTCTGGCTGGTATGAGATGGGATCTCACTGTAGTTTTAATTTTCTACACAGTATTCTTGATACTCCTCTCAATAGGAACTACTTTTATAATCACATTTTTGAAAAGAACAAAGTAGAAATTCAAAAATAAAACATGTTTGGAAAAATGAGGAAGATTACATAATTTTTATTGATACATAATAGTCATACATATGGGGAACATGTGATATTTTGATACATGTATACAATGTGTAATGAACAGGTAATTAGGATATCTATCACCTCAAACATGTATCATTTCTTTGTGTTGGGAACATTAAAAATCTTCTAGCCAAAAAAAAAAAAAAATACTAAAATAAAACATGTTTAAACTCTTTTGGGTAATGTAGCCTTATAGAGTGAGTGCCCAGCAACCTAGTGCCTGCTCTAGGAGGACAAGGCTTGCGTGGGTGTTGAAATCCTGGCGCGCCTGCCCAGCGTTTCACTTCTGTAGACCAAGGCTTCCTCTATGAGAAAACAAGATGTTTTCACAAGATACTCTGAAATTCCCCCCCATCCTGATATACTGCCTTTTAAGTCATATCTTACTGAAATCACTGAAATATTTAAAGGATGAACCGAGACTCACACTCTAACAAATGCTCTCGACGGTAATTTCCAGAATTATTGCTTAATCCCACTCCCAGCTCCACACGGAGAGCGGAAGCAGGTGCAGAGGTGTGCAGATGACCACGAATCATTTCCACTCTCTTTATTCAGGGAGCCCTGAAATTCAATGACTGCCAGAATTGCTGTCTCATTGGAAACTTGCCCTCGTGCCCTTGGCAAGTTACAACCTGAGGTGAGCAACGTAATAAATTTGACTTATTTTAACTGCCCTGAAGGGCAGACTCCAAGAAAGCAGCCGAACACTTCCAGAAGCTGTTGCTTGCCAATAGCTCTGGGGCTGCTGGCATGTCCTGCGTGGAGCTCTGGGTGGCATTCCGAGGACACAGAGAAGAGCAGCTTCTGTAAGATGTGGCAGGGAAGCACTTACCTAGTGCTGGCACGTTATGTATATTTTATCATTTAGTCCTTACAACAAGCTTCTGAGGTATCGGTTATCATCTCCATGACACAGGTGAGAAAATGTAAGAACAGCAGTATTGCAACTTAGTGAAGTAGATGCCCTCAAAATAATTCACCCATGTAATATTCTGCAAAGTAAGTCCATTTTTTAAGTAAAAAATATGTTAAATTCTAAATATCAACAGGCTACCTGGCTTAAAACTGTGGTATTGCTTACAAAAAAAAAAAAAAGCATGTCTCTTTAAACAAATTAAATTGTTATTTTTACTAAAAATCAAGTGATATAAAGAGCGTGATGGAACGTTCTGTCCTGTAGACCTAATAAATGTCTATCAAGTACAAAAATGTTGAGAACTTGCGACAAATCTTTAAATTTAGCATTATAATTAGCTTCAGCGCTGCCTAACTCTAAATAACTTTTCCTGATACCTGTCTTTCCAAACCCCCCCAAAACAAAAGGAAAGCGAAGACTTTAATTAATTGCATGGCGTGTCTCTAAGATGACTCTCTCCTCTGCACGTCTCAGCCTCTCTTCACTACCTCCCACCGCTTGGTTACTTAAGTGCTTTGACACGTATGACAAGCTTGCACAGCCTGCTCTGACTTCAAGGGCAACGCGTCCTTATAGCATTCTCTGCTAAACACTGCTTCTGTAAAACTTCAATTATTCTACGTTGACATTTCGATTTTTACCAAGTCGTCCAGTTTATCCCTTTATTAGTTGTTAGAAGCGAGCACTTACTTCCTTCAACTTCCTTATCTTTGCAGGTTTTCGGGGAACTATATGAATATAACTGCAGAAGAAGAAGAAAACATAATCAGAAGGTAGACAGTTACATAGAAAGTTCAGACTCTTTAGAGATGAGTCCTTTTCAGGCTTAGTAGATTCAACCCCACAGCAGTTTGGAACTAGAATCTAAAACCTTCCCGGTGTTAGAACCCACGTCAGAATACAGCAGCAGTGCTGCGGGAGGACAGTTTTCACACTGGGCACCAGTGGCATTGCCCCTTTGAAGTGTCTCTTAAGTGACATTGCTTTCCCTTATTAAAGAGAAACCTGAGAAATCATCTAATTAACAGCATTTTTTGAGCAGGTCACTGAAGGCCCAGAACTGTGAGCTCATCAATGTTCCCATGACAGGCTAAGCAGGAACAGAAACCCAGACCCTCCTCCAGCTCCCCTGCACCTCCCCTGCTCCCTCCTGGCTCCCAGAAATTTGACACTTCCCCTTTTGCCAAAACTGAAAACTGGAAAAAGAGGCCCCATCATAAAATGTGTCTGAGTCCCATTAACACAATTTTTTTACTGTTGGGGACTTTCGGGACTTCCATATTCCTCAAAAATAAAATGTTTTAATGGGTAATAAATAATGCCTTCAAATTATATGTGATATTAAGGTTTATTCCTGATTTTTAAAATATATGTATTTGAGATTATCATTTTTGATAGTTTTAGCAATAGTCAGAGAAGGGTCCATTTAGACTGGTAAATAGAAGGGAAAGAAAGAACTAAATATCCAATCAAGAGGCAGAGATGCAGGTCCCCATCAAATGATGACGCTCGCCAAGGGTGGTCTCAGGGACTGGCGGGGGCTGTGGCTAGCGGGAGCCCTTCCCGTCTCAGGTGGACACTGCCTCACAGGTCCAGACGGGGGAGACACGGGCAACTACAACCAAGTCCTCTGAACAGACAAATCCTCTATTTTTTTCAAGGAAGACCAAAAGTTCATAGTATTACATGAATTTTCCCAATTATAAAATGTTAGAGCCAACTCAAATCTTTGAAAACTGTATGAATGAAACAAACATGGCCGCTGGCTGAGCCGGCCCACGCCTTCCGCTGTGTGAGACAAACATGGCCGCTGGCTGAGCCGGCCCACGCCTTCCGCTGTGTGAGTGAGACAAACATGGCCGCTGGCTGAGCCGGCCCACGCCTCTCCACTGTGTGAGTGAGACAAACATGGCCGCTGGCTGAGCCGGCCCGCGCCTTCCGCTGTGTGAGTGAGACAAACATGGCCCCTGGCTGAGCCGGCCCGCGCCTCTTCCGCTGTGTAAGTGAGACAAACATGGCCCCTGGCTGAGCTGGCCCGCGCCTCTCCACTGTGTGAGTGAGACAAACATGGCCACTGGCTGAGACGGGCCGCACCTCTCCACTGTGTAAGTGAGACAAACAAGGCCGCTGGCTGAGACGGGCCCGCGCCTCTCCGCTGTGTGAGACAAACATGGCCGCTGCTGAGCCGGCCCGCGCCTTCCGCTGTGTAAGTGAGACAAACATGGCCGCTGGCTGAGACGGGCCGCGCCTCTCCGCTGTGTGAGTGAGACAAACATGGCCGCTGGCTGAGCCGGCCCGCGCCTTCCGCTGTGTGAGTGAGACAAACATGGCCGCTGGCTGAGCCGGCCCGCGCCTCTCCGCTGTGTAAGTGAGACAAACATGGCCCCTGGCTGAGCTGGCCCGCGCCTCTCCACTGTGTGAGTGAGACAAACATGGCCACTGGCTGAGACGGGCCGCACCTCTCCACTGTGTAAGTGAGACAAACATGGCCGCTGGCTGAGACGGGCCGCGCCTCTCCGCTGTGTGAGACAAACATGGCCGCTGGCTGAGCCGGCCCGCGCCTTCCGCTGTGTAAGTGAGACAAACATGGCCGCTGGCTGAGACGGGCCGCGCCTCTCCGCTGTGTGAGTGAGACAAACATGGCCGCTGGCTGAGCCGGCCCGCGCCTTCCGCTGTGTAAGTGAGACAAACATGGCCGCTGGCTGAGACGGGCCGCGCCTCTCCGCTGTGTGAGTGAGACAAACATGGCCGCTGGCTGAGCCGGCCTGCGCCTTCCGCTGTGTGAGTGAGACAAACATGGCCGCTGGCTGAGCCGGCCCGCGCCTTCCACTGTGTGAGTGAGACAAACATGGCCGCTGGCTGAGACGGGCCGCGCCTCTCCGCTGTGTGAGTGAGACAAACATGGCCGCTGGCTGAGCTGGCCCGCGCCTTCCGCTGTGTGAGTGAGACAAACATGGCCGCTGGCTGAGCCGGCCCGCGCCTTCCACTGTGTGAGTGAGACAAACATGGCCGCTGGCTGAGCCGGCCCGCGCCTTCCGCTGTGTGAGTGAGACAAACATGGCCGCTGGCTGAGCCGGCCCGCGCCTCTCCGCTGTGTGAGTGAGACAAACATGGCCCCTGGCTGAGCCGGCCCGTGCCTCTCCGCTGTGTGAGTGAGACAAACATGGCCACTGGCTGAGACGGGCCGCGCCTCTCCACTGTGTGAGTGAGACAAACATGGCCGCTGGCTGAGACGGGCCGCGCCTCTCCGCTGTGTGAGACAAACATGGCCGCTGGCTGAGCCGGCCCGCGCCTTCCGCTGTGTAAGTGAGACAAACATGGCCGCTGGCTGAGACGGGCCGCGCCTCTCCGCTGTGTGAGTGAGACAAACATGGCCGCTGGCTGAGCCGGCCCGCGCCTTCCGCTGTGTGAGTGAGACAAACATGGCCGCTGGCTGAGCCGGCCCGCGCCTTCCGCTGTGTGAGTGAGACAAACATGGCCGCTGGCTGAGCCGGCCCGCGCCTTCCGCTGTGTGAGTGAGACAAACATGGCCGCTGGCTGAGCCGGCCCATGCCTTCCGCTGTGTGAGTGAGACAAACATGGCCGCTGGCTGAGACGGGCCGCGCCTCTCCGCTGTGTGAGTGAGACAAACATGGCCGCTGGCTGAGCCGGCCCGCGCCTTCCGCTGTGTGAGTGAGACAAACATGGCCGCTGGCTGAGCCGGCCCGTGCCTTCCGCTGTGTGAGTGAGACAAACATGGCCGCTGGCTGAGCCGGCCCGCGCCTTCCGCTGTGTGAGTGAGACAAACATGGCCGCTGGCTGAGCTGGCCCGCGCCTTCCGCTGTGTGAGTGAGACAAACATGGCCGCTGGCTGAGCCGGCCCGCGCCTTCCGCTGTGTGAGTGAGACAAACATGGCCGCTGGCTGAGCCGGCCCACGCCTCTCCGCTGTGTGAGTGAGACAAACATGGCCCCTGGCTGAGCCGGCCCGTGCCTCTCCGCTGTGTGAGTGAGACAAACATGGCCGCTGGCTGAGACGGGCCGCGCCTCTCCACTGTGTGAGTGAGACAAACATGGCCGCTGGCTGAGACGGGCCGCGCCTCTCCGCTGTGTGAGACAAACATGGCCGCTGGCTGAGCCGGCCCGCGCCTTCCGCTGTGTAAGTGAGACAAACATGGCCGCTGGCTGAGACGGGCCGCGCCTCTCCGCTGTGTGAGTGAGACAAACATGGCCGCTGGCTGAGCCGGCCCGCGCCTTCCGCTGTGTGAGTGAGACAAACATGGCCGCTGGCTGAGCCGGCCCGCGCCTTCCGCTGTGTGAGTGAGACAAACATGGCCTCTGGCTGAGATGGGCCGCGCCTCTCCGCTGTGTGAGTGAGACAAACATGGCCGCTGGCTGAGCCGGCCCATGCCTTCCGCTGTGTGAGTGAGACGAACATGGCCGCTGGCTGAGCCAGCCCGCGTCTCTCGGCTGTGTGAGTGAGACAAACATGGCCGCTGGCTGAGCCGGCCCGCGCCTCTCCACTGTGTGAGTGAGACAAACATGGCCGCTGGCTGAGCCGGCCCGTGCCTTCCGCTGTGTGAGTGAGACAAACATGGCCGCTGGCTGAGCCGGGGCGCACCTCTCCACTTGCTTACAGGCCCTTGTATCCGCTCTTCAACAGCTTAGTCTAGTCCCCCTATTTTCCAAATAACCATTTTAGATTGGTTCTAAGTTCCCAAACTTCGTATTTGTGTATGGCCATTAACCTTTCACGAGACATCTGATTTTCATTACATGGAACCAAAAAATAAAATTTAACACAGAAAAACTAACACATAAAAAGATCCTTCAAAAACACAAAATACTATTTATTATTTCAGTGTTACACTCCCAAGAACATATATAAATAGAAAGAAAGGACCATAGTTCCTCAGGGAGCCTCTGTCCTGAGGTCTTGAACCCAGGCACTTAGAGAAGCCTGCTGGGTGGGCTTGAGTTGCCCTGAGGTGGGCGGGAGTGGGTCTGGGAAGCAGAGATGGGGCCGTTGGGTGCAAGCTCCCTCCTGGCTACTTCCAGACAACAAAGGAAGGGAGGAAACCACCCGTGAGAGTCAGTGCCAGGCGTTTCCCAGTACTGCATTCATTCTGTTCTACCGACGGTCCTGTAGAGTGGGCGTTAAGCCAGGCTGCTTGATTGATGAGGAAACAAGTCTTGGAGAGGTTATTTAACTAGTTAAACGTTTCTCAGATAGAGAAAGCCAGGATTAAATTCCACCAGTCTCTGGCTCTAACGCCAACACTCCTCTATCACAGCTTCCTCTCCACCCACTTCTCCTCTTTCTCCTGTCATCTGCTAGTTCCCAGGGTACAAATGGGTGGCCAGGGAAATGAGAAGAAAATGCTGGGGTGAGGAAGAACCAGGATACTTTGATGCAAACAGCACATTCACACGTCTAAGCAACAAGCTCTAAGGTAAACAGGGGAATATTCCTGAGCATTCAGATTCTCTGGGGTCCCTCCCTTAATCACACACACATGCACACATACACAACACCCTGATTTCGATTTTGTTGTAAATACAGCTTTCTCCACAAAAGATATATTAGTTCTAGGCTTTATATGACACTTTTAATTTTTTTGAAAAGTAATTACCTTATAATACTTTGTTTTATGAAGAAAAAAATTACATTCTTTGGGTCTCAAATTAATGTGTTCCAGATAATGCAGGAAATGTCTGAATAATGATTGGATATTGGAGAAATTTGTTGGTGTTTCTTTTTAATGCACCATCTCAAAACCACTATTATGAGGAGGGGGCTCCCGGATCACTAATCTATCAACAGGCTTCACTTCAAAGTTCATTTGCTGGTGACACAATTGGAGTATTATTTTCCAGTGAAAATTAACTGGACTGCTCAACAGCTTAGCCATTACAGAAAATAAATTTCCAGCGCTGGTTTACTTTACTAACACCAGTGAAAATTCAGCGAAAATCCAGCCACATGTTTCAGAGCCTTGTTCAGCAAAGTCTGAACTCCAATTTCACGCTCACTGACCTTTAGAAAAGGAGCCCCATGTACTCTCCGTGTTGAACTTCACACGCAGACGTGGCCCCTCTTTTACAGCACTGAGCATGCGTGGAAAATGCAACGCAACCAGGCCATCTGCCACACGGACCCCAACCCCCCTCCCTCTGCAGTGGGTGACATCTCTTTCCTTCCACAAAGTCATGAGCAACATGAAGAGCACTGGGAAGGAAAACATCTCAATGTCTTCTCAATATATATGCCACATGTCCACAACATTTTAAATAAACCATGAGACTGGAGGCTCTCTCTACAAAACTGGAGGTGTAACAGGGTGTGTTAGGAAACGCCTAGCCCCACAGGAAGGGAAACAGTAACATCTCCCAGGAATTCTCCAGACTTTGTGGCAGGTGCTTGACAGGTTTCCTTCCTCATTTACTAACACACAAAACATAGGCCAATTTTACAAGGAAATATCTTGGGATAAAATCAAATACTTTTCATTATATATGTATTGAAAAGGACTTTAAAGTCCATTTTTGTAGAAATATACTCTAATTGTAAAACAACACAACGCTGGATTCTGGGCAGGATCTCAGTTCTAGATGTTCATGCCATCTGACCAACCCCACAAATCATCACCAATCACATGGCCATAAAGGAATATAATTTTGTCCATGAATTCTCATACATAACAGGGTTATCACAGTAATAAATTTCAATCTGAAATGTGCGAATCCAGATTCCACCTCTTCACAACTGTGATGCCTGTGACTTAGGATTTTTCTTCAGAAACAACTGGATGGTAAATTCGCTTCTTCGCAAATGCCGCTACGAATCTGCAACCATACACAAGCCCTCAGCCTAACTCCTGCTACTTTTTCAAAAATACCAAACAAAACTCAAGCTGCTGATTTAATTCCGAGCATTTCTGAACTCGGAGCATTCCTGGCATTTGAAAGAAGAAACTGGAAATCCTCTGGGGATAATCTCACTTTTACCTCAGCCCTTGAAGAATGTCCCCACATAAAGCCACGCAAAAGGAGTAGTTCCCGGCCAAACTGCCAGTAAACCTGCCCGGAACAGAGGGCCAGGAGAGGAAAGCAGCTGAGATCACACAAGGCAGACACGGGCAACGACGGGATTACAGACACAAACCGTGGGAGGGCAGCGTTTTCATTAAAGGCGAGCTTGAAAACGCACGCAGGACCAAGAGGTGATGAACATGGAGTTAGAGGCGCCGCCCCCAGAGATTTCAAATAGGAACTGCCCAAGCCGCCCCATTCCCACGCCCCGCCCCCACGTCTCCCACGCCCCGCCCCCACGTCTCCCACGCCCCTCCCCATCTCCCACGGCCCTCCCCCACGTCTCCCACGCCCCACACGTCTCCCACGCCCCTCCCCCCACGTCTCCCACGCCCCCCATGTCTTCCACGCCCCGCCCCCACGTCTCCCACGCCCCCCGTCTCCCACGCCCCTCCCCCACGTCTCACACGCCCCCCGTCTCCCACACCCCTCCCTCACGTCTCACACGCCCCCCGTCTCCCACGCCCCTCCCCCACGTCTCCCACGCCCCCCGTCTCCCACACCCCTCCCTCACGTCTCCCACGCCCCTCCCCCGCATCTCACACGCCCCGCCCCCACGTCTCCCACGCCCCCCACGTCTCCCACACCCCCGTCTCCCACGCCCCTCCCCCACGTCTCACACGCCCCCCACGTCTCCACGCCGCTCCCCCACGTCTCCACGCCCCGCCCCCACGTCTTCCACGCCCCGCCCCCACGTCTTCCACGCCCCGCCCCCACACCCTCCCTTAGACCCCTCCCCAGTGTTTCTGCCCCACACCCGCCTGGCCGCTCTGGCCTCCTGATTCGCTGCCGGCCAGAGCCCGCCCTGCCCCGTAAGAAGGAACCCTGGGTTCGGGGCTGCCTCGGCTTCGGCCCCAGGAAACCACGTGGCCTCGGGGCGGCCCGGGGCGGCGGCACTGGATCCACGCAGGAAGAGGGGCGCCCGAGCCGGGAGGGTGCGTGGGGAGCACGGCCGCGACCACGCTCAGGCCCACGAGGCCGCGGGGCGCACTTACTCGAGCTCCCTGAAGCGCTCGCGGCCCGCAGCCACGTACTTGCCGCCCGCCTGCAGCGCGTCCAGCGCCAGCACCGGGCGCCCCCGCGTGGGCGTGAAGAGGCGGCGCACGCCGAACGGGACGTCCACCTGCTCCGTGAGCTGCTCCAGCAGCGCCTCGAAGGTGGTGGCGCGGCGCCGCGGCAGCACGAACCTCCTGCCCGGGTAGAACGGGTCCCCGTTGCGGTACACCACGATGGTCTTGGCGGGCGTGGTGTCCAGCAGCGCGGGGGGCCCGCGGGTGCCCATGGCCGCGCCCCGCTCCTCACTCGCCGGGGCCGAGAGGCGGCAACGCGGGCAGAGACGCCTGCAGAACTGCGCCCAGGCCCAGGCACCGCGGACTGGAGGTCGCTCCACCCGCGGGCGCGGGACGGAGACGGACTGGGCTGCCGGGCGGGGGCTGCATGTTGACGTGACCCCGAGCGATTGTGACCGCCAAGGTGAGGGGCGCGGTGCCAGGGCAGGAGACGGGTAACGGGGAGCCCGGGCAGGTGAGGGGTAACGGGGAGCCCGGGCAGGTGAGGGGTAACGGGGAGCCCGGGCAGGTGAGGGGTAACGGGGAGCCCGGGCAGGTGAGGGGTAACGGGGAGCCCGGGCAGGTGAGGGGTAACGGGGAGCCCGGGCAGGTGAGGGGTAACGGGGAGCCCGGGCAGGTGAGGGGTAATGGTGAGCCCGGGCAGGTGAGGGGTAACGGGGAGCCCGGGCAGGTGAGGGGTAACGGGGAGCCCGGGCAGGTGAGGGAGTAATGGGAAGCCCGGACAGGTGAGGTGTAACGGGGAACCCCCGGCAGGTGAGGGGGTAACGGGGAACCCCAGGCAGGTGAGGGGTAACGGGGAGCCCGGGCAGGTGAGGGGTAACGGGGAACCCCGGGCAGGTGAGGGGTAACGGGGAGCCCGGGCAGGTGAGGGGTAACGGGGAGCCCGGGCAGGTGAGGGGTAACGGTGAGGGGTAACGGGGAACCCCGGGCAGGTGAGGGGTAACGGGGAGCCCGGGCAGGTGAGGGAGTAATGGGAAGCCCGGACAGGTGAGGTGTAACGGGGAACCCCAGGCAGGTGAGGGGTAACGGGGAGCCCGGGCAGGTGAGGGGTAACGGGGAGCCCGGGCAGGTGAGGGGTAACGGGGAGCCCGGGCAGGTGAGGGGTAACGGGGAGCCCGGGCAGGTGAGGGGTAACGGGGAGCCCGGGCAGGTGAGGGAGTAATGGGAAGCCCGGACAGGTGAGGTGTAACGGGGAACCCCCGGCAGGTGAGGGGGTAACGGGGAACCCCAGGCAGGTGAGGGGTAACGGGGAGCCCGGGCAGGTGAGGGGTAACGGGGAACCCCGGGCAGGTGAGGGGTAACGGGGAGCCCGGGCAGGTGAGGGGTAACGGGGAGCCCGGGCAGGTGAGGGGTAACGGTGAGGGGTAACGGGGAACCCCGGGCAGGTGAGGGGTAACGGGGAGCCCGGGCAGGTGAGGGAGTAATGGGAAGCCCGGACAGGTGAGGTGTAACGGGGAACCCCCGGCAGGTGAGGGGGTAACGGGGAACCCCGGGCAGGTGAGGGGTAACGGGGAGCCCGGGCAGGTGAGGAGGTAACGGGGAGCCCGGGTAGGTAAGCGGGTAACGGGGAACCCCGGGCAGGTGAGGAGGTAACGGGGAGCCCGGGTAGGTGAGCGGGTAACGGGGAACCCCGGGCAGGTGAGGGGGTAACGGGGAGCCCAGGCAGGTGAGGGGGTAACGGGGAGCCCGGGCAGGTGAGGGGGTAACGGGGAGCCCGGGCAGGTGAGGGGTAACGGTGAGGGGTAACGGGGAACCCCGGGCAGGTGAGGGGTAACGGGGAGCCCGGGCAGGTGAGGGGTAACGGGGAGCCCGGGCAGGTGAGGGGTAACGGTGAGGGGTAACGGGGAACCCCGGGCAGGTGAGGGGTAACGGGGAGCCCGGGCAGGTGAGGGGGTAACGGGGAGCCCGGGCAGGTGAGGGATAACGGGGAGCCCCTGGCAGGTGAGGGGGTAACGGGGAACCCCGGGCAGGTGAGGGGTAATGGGGAGCCCGGGCAGATGAGAGGTAATGGGGAGCCCGGACAGGTGAGGGAGTAATGGGAAGCCCGGACAGGTGAGGTGTAACGGGGAACCCCCGGCAGGTGAGGGGGTAACAGGGAACCCCAGGCAGGTGAGGGGTAACGGGGAGCCCGGGCAGGTGAGGGGTAACGGGGAACCCCAGGCAGGTGAGGGGGTAACGGGGAGCCCGGGCAGGTGAGGGGTAATGGGGAGCCCGGCCAGGTGAGGGAGTAATGGGGAGCCCGGCCAGGTGAGGGAGTGATGGGGAGCCCGGCCAGGTGAGGGAGTGATGGGAAGCCCGGACAGGTGAGGGAGTGATGGGAGCCCGGACAGGTGAGGGAGTAATTGGAAGTCCTGACAGGGGAGGGGTAACGGGGAACCCCAGGCAGGTGAGGGAGTAACGGGAACCCCGGGCACCCGTCAGGGGGTAATGGGGAGCCCAGACAGGTGAGGGAGTAATTGGAAGTCCTGACAGGGGAGGGGTAACGGGAACCCCAGACAGGTGAGGGGTAATGGAGAACCCCAGGCAGGTGAGGGAGTAACGGGAACCCTGGGCAGGTGAGGGGGTAATGGGGAGCTTAGGCACGTGAGGGGGTAATGGGGAACCCTGGGCAGGTGAGGGGGTAACCAGGAGCCCTGGGCAGGTGTGTGTCTTGGTGGCAGAGCTCAGGAAAAGAAAATGAAGAGGTCAGAGTGATTGTGCAGAGCACCCCAGAGCCCTCTTGCTATACTCACTGCCCTCCTCTGCAGAAGCCATAGAGAGGAGGGGAGGGAGGGAGGGACCAGGGCCATCTAGACAATCAGCATTGGATGGGTGCTGGGAGCCTCTTCACATTTTTGAGCCTCTCTTTAATCTTAGGTTGAATTTGACCAGTTCAGCCCCAGAATCTTCTGGGACTCCTGGCCCAGGTGGGGAATTTGAGCTTCTCCACCCGAGGAGGAGCTGTGCAGAGCCACTGGGAGCCGGTGAGGAGCAGCCGCTGCAGCCACGGGCATGTGGTGTCAGGTGTGTACCACTCAGAACACAGCCTCATTTGAGTTAAGAATGATTCAAAGCGAGAGGTGGACTTTGGAAAAATCGTTCCTATTCTGGGTAAAGACAGGCCAGTCCTCTTGAGTGATCCTAGAAATCATTCAAGTGATTCTAGAAATAAATTTTCCCAGTGGTTTTGATGAGCTCGACAAAGTTTCAAAGACAGTAGGCTACATATGCCTGCTGGAAGTCCACACTGAAGGGATGGAATATTGATATTATCAATATCAACATCTTATATGTGAATATCAATCTTACAGTGTCCAAAAGAAAGTAATTCCTCAGAGACCTACCATTCGCAGCCACAGCCAGTATGTAACCTACCAAATGCCTCATAGTAACATTAACTGCAGAGATCAATTTGTGAGATGACCACTTTATTAAATCACCAGGTGTTGGACACACTTGAAAAGAAGCCTATGCAGGAGGCTGAGGCAGGAGAATTGCCTGAACCCAGGAGGCGGAGGTTGCAGTGAGCCGAGATCGCGCCATTGCACTCCAGCCTGGGTAACAAGAGCGAAACTCCGTCTCAAAAAAAAAAAAAAAAAAAAAGAAGAAGAAGAAGAAGAAGACGCCTATGACTGGGAAATTACTGCCATGTATCCGACACCAGGGCTTTGTGTGTGTTAAGGGTTTGCTCTGAGGCCCACTTTCACCAAGAACTTCATCATGGGCTTCTTTCTCTGAGGGCATCAGGAGGCAGATGGAGCTGGGGAAGCCCCTGAGCCAAAGGCGGCTCACTCCCCCGTCGGGGACAATGATGAGCCTGGCATGAGTGATGACATCTTGGAGCTCCAGGGTCAGGCTGTTGAACAGGTGACTTTCGTTGGGGAACAGCTGAAAAGCGAGCAGATGCAAGGGATCCTGGTCTGTTAACAGGGCATGTGTTGGGAGGCCAAGGCGGGTGGATCACGAGGTCAAGAGATCGAGACCATCCTGGTCAACATGGTGAAACCCCGTCTCTACTAAAAATACAAAAAATTAGCTGAGCATGGTGGCACGTACTTGTAGTCCCAGCTACTCAGGAGGCTGAGGCAGAAGAATTGCCTGAATTCAGGAGGCGGAGGTTGCGGTGAGCCGAGATCGCGCCATTGCACTCCAGCCTGGGTAACAAGAGTGAAACTCTGTCTCAAAAAAAAAAAAAAAAAAAAAACAGAGGGCATGTGTGGCTGAATGACCCCACACCCAGGGCAAACCTTTGCCTTGTACTCGGGCTTTAAAATAAGTGATTCATTGATGATAATTGGGCTTTCCATAAACATCTGCTAGTAGGGACAGGGTACCCAAATAATACATGAATAATCAGGCCCCAATAAACAGCTGATGGGCAACCTAAATGCCCATCAATTATCTCTTATAGTTGATTATACATAAGCAAATTGGTAAGAAAATGAAAGGAGATTATCTTGGTCTCTCCCCGAGGTTATTTCCTATCTTTACATGGGAGCAGCTCTCACCTCCAGCCTGACCCTCTTTCTAGATCAAAGAAGACACTTGTGAAATATCTCAGAGTGTCCATCCTGCAGGTGGACACTCCATGATAGCTTTAAATGTGGTAGTCACCCCTTCTACAAAGTTTCCATGTATGCATTCTGAGCGCTTAACAATCTCATTCTAACAAAATTTGACTAGAAATACAAAAGCGGACAGAAATAGAGCCTTTCTTCTTATTTGAGTTAGCAGATATGGGTTTTACAACCTCATTCATTTTTACCACTAAACTGAGCAGAAACCTTGGAGTTGTATCCCAATCCTTCAAAAGAGAATCTTAGGGAAATAGCCCAGTCTGAGTGCTGGCTCCTACCAGCGCCACGCAAACCGTGGTCGCCGGAAGCAGTGGTTTCCACTTGTGGGCCGGGAGAATCCACTTTCTCTTGACCATGTCTTCTTCCTGAGTTGTCAGGACGCACCCATCCACTTTACAGCTGTCAGGAGCATTGCCTGTTGCAGCAACACAGAGTGACTTTCTGCCCTTGTCATAAGAATGAAAAGCCCAGCAAAAGCAGAGGTATGAAGATGTGAGAGAAGGAACAAACCAGTTTGTGATGCTCAGATTGCCTCTGAAATAGACACTTCCTTTTCAGAGCAATCGGAAGCAGTCCACCATATGTGAAGGGGCTGGTGCATTTCAGTTTGAATGCACAGTGTTGTTACTTTGAAATCTGAATGTATTTGATAAGCTTCCTCAATTGCAGATTTAATTACTTGCAGACTGCTGTGTGGCTCATCTGAAATTATTATGAAGATGGAAAATATTTTCCTATGATATCATATTTTCTAACATGACGATCAAAAGGAAATACTGAGTTATATGTTAGCTAGTGCTGGGCATCAGTCACACACATGGATTTGGGAATTTCTGACTCATCTTCAGGTGAGAGTATACACTCCTGAGAGTCTTCTGTCTTTGGAATACCATAGGAATCTTGTGCTCGGGGGAGTTACAGGGCCCTGGGGGGAAGGTCCCCCTCTGTTTATGAAGAACACTTCTTTTGGGGCTCTTTGAGACTTTAAGACCCACAGAGAAGAGCTGCTAATCAAAAACTCTGGACAAGAGGAGGCAAGAGCTCACATGCCCCCTTTGTGGCCCATCTCTTAAAATAGTGATCTCCAGGATGGCTGAGCACGCCCCTGGGGTACATACAGACACAAAGGATGCAAGTACAGAACATTAGGGACGCTATTTCTTTTTTTTTTTTTGAAATGAAGTTTCGCTCTTGTTACCCAGGCTGGAGTGCAATGGCGCGATCTTGGCTCACCGCAACCTCCGCCTACTGGGTTCAGGCAATTCTCCTGCCTCAGCCTCCCAAGTAGCTGGGATTACTGGTGTGCGCCACCATGCCCAGCTAATTTTTTGTATTTTTAGTAGAGACGGGGTTTCACCATGTTGACCAGGATCATCTCGATCTCTTGACCTCGTGATCCACCCGCCTCGGCCTCCCAAAGTGCTGGGATTACAGGCCTGAGCCACCGCGCCCGGCCCAGGGACGCTATTTCTATTTGATATACATACATGTGTGTGTATCTATAGTAAGCTTTGTGTATTTGATATAACTCACTATGCTGCTGTAGGTGGATACCACCACGCTCCCTCATTTCCATATTGTTCCTGAGTGATTGACAGTGGTAGATTCATGATCTCTTGCAATTTTGGTTGCCTGCTTAAGTGTATTTACTGTTTAGTTTTAACTAAAGAATCCCTCACAAAAATAAACAAGTTATTTTAAACCATTCATGCAGAGAACCGTGGATTAAACATACCACAAAAAATGCAAACATGTATGAACAAGAAAATAGCAGAGCTGCCATTTCACCTGACCCTCAGTCAGCCACATTGAAAAGAAAAAACATGGCCACATAACCAGGTCTAAAGTGCAGTCTAAAAAAGCAGGCAATGGGGAAAGGCGTTGGGATAACTGGCTAGCCATGTGCACAAGATTGAAACAGGACCCCTTCCTTATACCAAACACAAAAATCAACTCAAGGTGGATTAAAGCCTTACATGTAAAACCCAAAACTATAAACACCCTGAAAGATAACTTAGGAAATACCATTCTGGACACAGGAACTGGCAGAGATTTCATGATGAAGATGTCAAAAGCAATTGCAACAAAAGCAAAAAAATTAAAAATAACAAATGGGATATAAGTAGACTAAAGAGCTTCTGACAGCAAAATAAACCATCAGCAGAGCAAACAGACACCTACAGAACAGGAGAAAACGTTTTCAACCTATGCTTCTGACAAAGGGCTAATACCCAGAATCTATAAGGAATTTAAACAAATTTTCAACCAAAAATAACCCCATTAAAAAATGGACCAAGGATATAAACAGACACTTTGCAAAAGAAGACACCCACACGGGCAACAAGCATATGAAAAAATGCCTGACATCACTAATCACTGGAGAAATGCAAATCAAAACCATTGTGAGATACCATCTCACACCAGTCAGAACGGCTGTTACAAAAAAATCAAAAAATAACAGATGCTGACAAGGCTGTGGAAAAAAGAGAACAGGTATAAACTGCTGGTGGGAGTATAAATTGGTTCAGCCATTGTGGAAAGTGGTGTAGCGATTCCTCAAAGAACTAAAAAATTACCATTTGACTCAGCAAACCCATTATTTGGTGTCTACCCAAAGGAATATAAATCACTCCACCATAAAGACACATGCATGTGTATGTTCACTGCAGCACTGTTTACAATAGCAAAGACATGGAGTCAACTTAAATGTCCATCGATTGTAGACTGGCTAAAGAAAATATGATACATATACAACATGGAATACTATACAGCCATAAAAAAGAAGAGAGAATGTCCTTCACAGTAACATGGATGCAGCTGGAGACCATTATTCTTAGCAAACTAACAGAGGAACAGAAAACCAAGTACCATGTGTTTTCATAAGTGGGTGCCAAATAATAGGAACACATGGACACTGGGGCCTACTTGAAGGTGGAGGGTGAGAGAAGGGAAATCAGAAAATAATTGCCTACTGGGTACTACACTTGATACCTAGGTGATAAAATAATCTGTACATCAAACCCCCATGACACGAGTTTGCCTAGATAACAAACCTGCACATTTACCCTTAAACCTAAAATAATAATTAAAAGAAAAAAATAGATAAAATGCAGTCTTTTTTAAATAAGTTAAAATTACCAAGACTTCTTCAAATGACTATAGGCACTACTGTTGATGATGAGCCTAGCCTTAAACTTGATATCATGGTTAACAATTGAGTAAAATCACAATAACTCCCAAGACATTGAAAAACCACTCGCCCAAAACATGAATATAAACTGCCACTATTTATTCAAAGATGGCTAATGTGTAATACTCAATCCAGTACTTATAAAATCTCACATAACAATTATAAAAGTGTGGCAACTTCTTGTGAATTTTTTTAATAATACACATAATGTATTTCATAAGAAAGTAAATATACAATATCAGGGTTGTTTGTCCAAGTATTTTTTTTTTTTTACAGTTAGAAGAGCACAGTTTTAAAAAATGTGTAAATCACTGTCTTAAAAGTGAAGCCTGGGGAAGAAATGGTCACTCCCCTCCCCTGGTCAATCTGCTTAGGACCCTTCTCTATAAAATGGTGCCTGCCATCCCTGTGCTTCTCGCAGGCTCTCTCCGAGGGCCTAGTAAAGAGCCGGACAGTGTCGCTGAATCTTGTATGACTTTGGGGATCATCCAGCCAAACTGTGAATTTGAGAGGGGTTACTAAAGTTCAAAGCATTGGCTGGGTGTGGTGACTAACACCTGTAATCCCACTACTTTGGGAGGCCAAGGCGGTTGTTATCAGCGGAGGTCAGGAGCTCGAGACCAGCCTGGTCAACATGGTGAAACCCCGTCTCTACTAAAAAATACGCAAATTAGCCAGGCGTGGTGGCAGGCACTTGTAATCCCAGCTACTCCAGAGGCTGAGGCAGGAAGAATCACTTGCACACAGGAGGTAGAGGTTAGAGAGAGCCAAGATAGCACCATACGTTTTCATAAGTGGTGCTTATGCACTACAGCCTGGGCAACAGAGTGGGATTCTGTCTCAAATATAAGTAAATAAGGACCAGGCACGGTGGCTCAGACCTGTAATCCCAGCACTTTGGGAGGCTGCAGCAGGTGAATCACCTGAGGTCAGGAGTTCGAGACCAGCCTGACCAACATGACAAAACCCCGTCTCTACTAAAAATATAAAAACTAGCTGGGGATGGTGCTGGGTGCCTGTAATCCCAGCTACTTGGGAGATTGAGGCAGGAGAATCATTTGGACCTGGGAGGTGGAGGTTGCAGTGAGCTGAGATGGCACCACTGCACTCCAGCCTGGGAGACACAGCAAGACTCCATCTCAATAAATAAATGATAGATAGATAGATAGATAGATAGATAGATAGATAGATGATAGAGTTCTGAGGGTTAAAATGGCATGCTCAAAATTATACAGCTTAAGTGGGGATTCCACACCGAGAGCCCAGTGTCCTCAGTTTCACTTCCATAGAACTCAGTCTTTAGAATAAACACACCAATTATAATGTACTTCTTTATAGATTTGCATTTACCTTTAAAATATTTTGTGTCCATTTCAATTTGCCTTATCACTCCAGGATGTGCCAATCGGAAAACCGCCCATTCACAATCCGGAACCAAGAAAATGCCATTCTCATCATTCTGGAATTCAGAAAAGAAGAAAATGGTAAATGAACTTGAAGCCATTCAAGAAACCAGTCCAGAAAACCAACAAGTGAAAAAGGTTGACGTGTTTCTTTTATTTCTTACTATAGAAGAATGTTTCCTGTGACCTGATGTGTAAATGACTTTCATGTAAGTCGCCTCTTTGCTATCATTCCTTAAATGTCTCGTGCCAATTTGTAAGTTCACTGGATCCCAGATAAGTTTTTCTGAATTTCTGATGTGATTTTCTATGTCAATTACAGATCCCTGCAAAATGTTATGCATGCAGGGATCTTTATCTAATCCAGCCCACAGGTCTTCTAATTAGTTTGTTTTGACCTTTCAAGGTACATATTTTGTTGGTCAAACCTATACCGATACATGATGTGCATCCAAACCGTAGTTTTGAGAACCGAGAGTTTGTTCACTGATATCTCAAAGCATCAGGTGACATGAAATCCAACTTAGGAAGGGGAGGGCACTTTTCTGACCAAGTGTTCAGTGGGCTTTGCAAACTGAAAGGTATTGTTTTGCTTTGTTTCGCTTCATCTTGGTTTCTCTCTCTGGAATCAGTAACTGGCCAAATTAAACAACTGTATGAACTCTCGAGTGCTCCGTTTGTCACAAGTTCATGTAAGTGGTGCAATCCTGAGATACACAGATATTAGACATTGCTAAACTAGTAGCTCTTCCCCAGATCTCCCAACGTGTTTATTCATAACTTTTGTATTACTAAATCGCAGCTCCTTTTGTTTCTTTATTGAAGAAACAGAGGAATGTTCCAAATATGCATTGGAGCATCTGAAAATGACCAGTACGTTTGGCCTTCTGAGTCTCTGCCCTGATATTATCATGAAAACAAGAGGAAATTTGGAAAATGTAGATCACAGTAATTAGCGTTTAGAACAATGCGTATGAGGTTTCTAAAATAAGCAGACGTTTATTTAAACGAAAAAGAAGTTCCAAAAATACTTTGTAGAAAAATCAGTTATTTTTAACTTCTTACTTCTTTTTTTATCACAAAGTTTTTATTGAACAAAAATAATATGACAGTAAAAATGATACATGTATGAAAGTGAACGAAGATTTTCAGTCATAGAAAAGATGTGTACAAAGAGACCAACATTCAGGTTATATAGTTCTATAAAACTTTTCCCATGGCAGTTTAACACTGATTAAGCAGACATAAAAAGGAAAAGAAAGTGATTAATGTTATTTGAAACCTATTTTCTGAGTGAAATACTTCTGATAAAACACGCACACACAGAACGAGGCAGAGCTATACAAGTTATACTTCAGTTCCTCCAGTTCTCTATTTGTGTTACAGAAGTATTTTCATTCATCAAAAATTGTATTTTTTCCATTTCTAACAAATGGATGTAGAGTATACATTAATCCCAGTTTCCAAAGGAAAAGAAAATAAGAATCAGATCTGTAGGCATTTAAATATTTCCAACCATCATTTGTATAAACAAGTAGCTAAAAATAGTATTTTTGGTTGAGACTTTTGCACGTTAACTTCCTTTAGTTTCTCTATAAGAATCATGCGTTTTGAACGTGTTCTCTTATCTCACAACAAAATTCTAAATGCTCTGTCTTTATGTAGTTTTTCGTTTGTTTTGCTAATGCGTAGTTTTGAACCAGTTATTACTTACAGCTAGGCATGGAGGGAACAATTGGACTGAACACCAATCATTGTTCCACCTTCAGTGAGCTGTGCAGCCTTAGGCAACTCTCAGCTTCTGATGTGCACCTGTCTTGAGCTGGAAACAGGTGGTGGGAAGCATTCTCAAAGGCCACTTCTAGCACCATCATTGTATGTTCGGTAATTATCAGTTCCCTGGGCCAGCTCCTTTTATTCAGGTATAGAATTATCCTTAGTCTATGGCAGGGGCAGGGGGACAGGGAGGTAGTGTCTATTCTTGGATTTTGGAATCACTGCAATGACTTTATAGCCAAGGAGGCATATTAGAGTGTTTGGATTTTTATCCCTTGGTAAGGGCCTATCCCCACAGAGATGCTCAATTCCAGTTGAAAAACCCCAGAATTTCTAAGTATCATAGCAATATTCTAGACTTTTTCTGAAGATTCAAGAAATGTTTTCACAAACCTCATTTTTGAATCCTTTCTCATAATCTTGCCACTTCATGCCCAGTTTACATCAGTTATTTAGTCACATTTCAAGTTATTTTTATCATTTGTAGTTAAGGATCATAGTTAACCTTGAATTTAAAGCTCTGGGTGCTTTCCAGGTCTCTCATATTAGAACGTTCCTTCTTCATGTGCAGGTGTGGTACCTTTGGACTGGTGCCTGCTGATTTCCTGATGGAACAGAAACTATGTGTGTATTAACACTGCCCCAAACCACATTACACAGGAGGGTTTACTGCAGTGTTCCAAGTCGTTCTCAGTTCAGGTCCGCAATGATGAGGTTCCTGTAGAATTCTTCTTCTGTCAAGATGTCCTTCATTCTCCCCATGACTTCAGTAGTATGTAAAGCGGTGTAGCCTCTCAATTTCCTCAAGCAAGCCCTTTAGTACCTCCAGTTGCCTATTTGTATTACAGCACGTTTTGGATCCATCAGAAATTTTGACTGACTATACTGATGAAGATACCTAGTGTTACAGAATTATTTCTTAGTTGTCTGGGTTCACCACCATTCTGCGAGCCTGTTCCGAAGCATTAGCTTTTTAAATGTTAGTTATAGTTGCAAGGATTTCGAAGAACCCCCACTCATACTGGCACAGTGAATATATCAGATGGTCAGGAGTCTCTACGGAAAATGGAGAAAACCATTTTTTTGAAATAAGAGTATGCTAACCTAGGAGATATTCTCAGGCCTGGAACAGCAAGAACTTGATATAGCTTTTCCATCTCAGATTTTTGTCTGGAAGACATTTAAAAGATATTGTAAACAACTAAGGAGGCTAGCCTTTCAAAGTTCATTCTTTTAAAAATGCACTTTAGAACATTTTCTTTTATCAATTTTTATTGTCTAAATATGGCTTAGTTTATTATAAAAACATTACTTGGACATTTACTGAGTTTCAGTTCAAAAGAGGTTCCAAGGCAATTCTTATACAATTGCAATTAAAAACAAAAATGTGATATGAATATGCTTTCGTATTGCCCACTGGTGAAAAATAATGAAATTCTACTAGAGAGCTGTTTGTTTGATACTAATTTTCATCTTTCAAACATTTCCTCTTAATACTAAAACTATATCATTTACATAACCCTAAATGCAATGGAAGGCGCAGCTGGTTATAGTCTATAGAAGCACACAGTTTAGCATATGCAGAATTAAAGAGAAAAAAACTTCACATCCTTATTAGTTATACTGCAAACCATTAAGAAAAGTTGTTCACTGTCAGCAGTGTTGAACACTTAAGACTAAAAGGATATAACAACAAAAACATTAAAATTCACTTAATGCAAAACAGATTTTCATATACACTCGAATATATATAAAAAAGTGTTTTAAATGCTAACATAAATCTAGACTGTCCTTGTTATGAAAAGTGCAAACCAAATTAACAGTTTCACAATGTCCTTCTCATGACACAGGTAAACTAGCCCAGGGGGACAAATTTGTTTATCAGTTAATGAGTCCTTACTTGTGGCCAGACGTCATCAGGATTTCTGAGAGCTGGAAGAAAGCAGTACTGGAGAAGCAGCTGTCCAGACTGGGGATTGGCACTGGCATGTGGCCGCTAAGCAGTGTGGGGAACTGGAACAGCGTGCCTGGCCCTTGCAGCCTGGCAGGACTCAGTGGAGCAACTGGACTAAGGCTGCTGCAGAAATGCATGCTGGAGAGCACTGGACTCGGAGTCAGAAGCAATCCATTTGGTGTCTGTGCGCTGAAGAAGGCTGAGGTGAGGGATCCCGAGGGGAGGGCTGGGCTGTTGCGGGCGATGGAGCCAATGTCAGTGCCGGAGAGCACCAGTGGGGACGCTGAGATTTCCAAGCCTTTGGGTTTTTTGGACTTTGGGGAAAGAGATGGAGACTTGGTCTTGGAGCCCGATGACAGGTTCAAGGGCTCCAGGGAATCGGCGTCATGGCAGGCGGCCTCCAGGAAGAGGCTTCTGTGATCAGAAGGGAGGGGTGAGTTGGGGGACAGGGACGGGGACCGAGATGAGAAGGGTGAGGCAGACGAAATACTGGCAGCCTTTGGCAACATTAAAGAGGTCTCGGCCGAGACGGACGAGGCCAGGAAGGCAGTCGCCGCTGCAGCCTCTGATGTGGAAGCCAGGGACACCGCCGGCCTGGTGACGCGCTTGTCGGTTTTATTGGTCACAAACCTGATCACAGTCCTGACTTCTTCCACGGGGCGGGTAGGGGGGCTGTCTTGGGGCGGCTCCTCCAGCTTCTCCATCTTGATGGCCTTGAAGGCGTCCGGTGGGCTCTGCAGGGAATTGATGGTGAAGGACGAGTACAGGCCTGAGTGGATGTATTCATTGCGGCTGGTGCTTTTGAGGGCGGCGAGGCCGTGTTTGTGAGCCTCACGGCCCTCGGGAGAGGCCTTGCCGTCGCTGTCCTGCAGCAGAAGGCTCTCCAGGCCGACCTCCACCGCACGCGGATCCATCTTCGGGATCTCCGGGAAAGAGACGAACTGGTGCACAAACTTCTGCCCGATCGCCTTCTTGATGATGTTCTTGTCATAACAGTAGCAGGGCTCTGCTCAGCTCATCAGAGTTCGTATTTGTTTTGTTTTTTCGGAGTCCCCACAGCTTGGCCACTTCTTCGGCTTCGAGGAGCGTGAATTCACCATCGTTGGAGGTCCGGCAGATCAAATGCTCCTGTTTCTGATCCAGCAGGAACTGCCACGGCGTGATTGCACTCTCCATACCCAGATGTGGGGGAGTCTTCAAGATCCTTCTTCGGGGGAATTTCTAGGAGGACGCGGGCGAAAGCCCCCGACTTTCCATGCTGACAGGCGTCTGCAGAGGATCTGTGGCTCTTGTAATGAGATCCTGATTTTCCCCCCTTTTTTTCTTTCTCTCGCTCCTCTTTTTTTCCCCCCTCTGGTGTGTGTGAGAGCAGGAGGTTGGAGCAGTCAGGCCGAGCCGGCTCACTTCCTTTACTGCATTATTCCCCAGGCGGTGTGCAGTCTGTGTAAACAGGCTTTGCCGCCCCGCGCCGCCCCCGCCCGCCCTGCTTCCTCTAACTTCTTTTTTTTTTTTTTTTTTTTTTTTCTTTTTTTGAGACGGAGTTTCGCTCTTGTTACGCAGGCTGGAGTGCAATGGCGCGATCTCGGCTCACCGCAACCTCCGCCTCCTGGGTTCAGGCAATTCTCCCACCTCAGTCTCCTGAGTAGCTGGGATTACAGGCACGCGCCACCATGCCCAGCTAATTTTTTTTTGTATTATTAGTAGAGACGGGGTTTCACTATGTTGACCAGGATGGTCTCGATTTCTTCACCTCGTGATCCACCCGCCTCGGCCTCCCAAAGTGCTGGGATTACAGGCGTGAGCCACGGCGCCCGGCCTCTAACTTCTTCCTTCTAATATCGGTGGCCTGTGCAGCCTTCTTGCAGTTTCCCAGCCATCCACCATGGACTTTGCCCTGCCAACTCCTACAGAAAATAACATTGCTGAATGGTAAGCTGTATGATTTTACGTGTGAGGAAGAACACATTGCTGTAATTATATTACAGATCTTACGCACCTGAGCATTGCTACGTTCTTTTCACTAAAGTGAATGTTTCCATAACTTCACAAACAATCATAGCGTTAGTTAAATTTTACTTTTCCTTTTAAAGCAGCTACTTAGGCCAAAATTAGGAAGAAAAATTGCTAATGTCGACTTATTTCATGTCGTAAAGACATCAAATCATACACATGGAAGATTAATCTCATCTACTTCCATGCTTTGAGATACGCCTTTCCTTTTAAAACATTCTGACCATATTGGCGTATTTATTGCTGGTAGCCAGACTTCCTAAATAAGCCAGCTCCGAGAATATCTTCTTACCTATTATATTGTTTGGGTGCCCAAAATTAGCATTACTAAATCCTACACAGACACCCCCAAAAGCGATGGCCACTAGGTCTTCAGGTTCTTTGGGGTCAGTTGCAGTCCAGTCTTTCGTCCAGTACCGAATACTCTAAGCCATGCGATTCCACCATCTGGAAAGGAAAGGTGCCTTAGTTATTGTTTATAAAAATGGTTGCTTGTGTGTCATAAACTGCAGGCCCCTCCTGTCTTCTCTAGCCTCCTCCCTTGGTAGGATTTGGCCACACCTGCCTGCTGCTTCTCAAGTACAACAAGCCCACTGCCCCAGGGCCTTTGCACTTGACATTACCTTGTGCCAGAACAACTTTCTCCGCTTTCCAAAAGGCTACTTATGTTCCTCACCTTAAGGCCAGGGCCTCAGAACGGCTTCCCTCTCATCCTCTGAAGTTATCTCCTCCCTGCTCCATCCGGCCACTGCCTGACTCCCCAGGTTACATGTCATCACATCCCTTTGCTTATTACTCCAGAGTTCTAATCACAGTCCCAAGTTATCTTGTCAAGTTCCTGCTAAAATCAGTCTCCCAAACCCAGAGTGCAAAATCCTTGCAGTCCAGACAAGATAGCTGTGTTTTCACTTCTGTACCACTCTTGTATCATTTCTACCTAGAAGACGTCCAGGCACATAGTAGGCATTGAAGTTTTTTCTTTTAATTAAATGAACAACTCCAAGTCAAACAGCATTTTGGAAATTTACCATACACATAATGTTTGGTGCTAGGAATGAGCATCGCTGACTCCCACAGACTCAGACAAGAGAACCTTCTGTTTTTATATTTACACCACCACACTGCTTAGCAACGCAATTGAGAATACACAAGGTAATATTCACAAAATCAAATTGTGCTGGAAACCACAGCAGCCTGAAATTAGGTCTGCAGAGAGGCAAAGTGCCGCCAAGATCAACTCACAGCGCTGGAGTCTAGTAGAAGGAACGTTTGGTTTCTTTGAATATTAATTCCTAGAAGGTGGAAGCCAAGCTTTTTTAACATAGGAAATTAATTTAAGCAAAACGTTTTTCTAAAACAAGCCCTATATGTTTTTATTGTAAAAATTTACTGAAAATGAGTGATCTGAAAAACTTTTTGACAAAACAATGGAAGTCTTGTGGTTTACAACAAATAAAACCAAGCTTCATTGGCATAAAACCCTAGAAAATATCCTAGAGGGAGTAATTCAGCAGGAGCTACACTGTGAGAGTAATATCACTGCCATTCTGGTTCATTAAATGTTATCATTGGCTTTAATGATATAGAAGATATTCACCTGTTGAAAGTAAAGTCGATTTCACATTTTTAAAAAATAAGGTTTTTCTCTACAGAGTTAATATCCAAACCTGCGTTTAATCAAAACTGTCAAGGGATCCCAGAAATTACTCTTCATCCTCTGAGGACATCTCATTTAAACCAGCCCACTCCCACCCAATGTGTCCCTGTGACACCAGCCTGGTTTTCCCCTGTTTCCTTCCTCTTTACACCTGGATCCCAGGCAGAATCCTCATGGAGCAGTTAAAGATGCCATAAGAGTTGGGGCGTGGAATCTGTATATAGATATTGCCCCCCTCTCCTCTTCAGGCAGTCAGCACTGACCAATTAGGAAACAGCTTGTATGTGCTTAGGAAGCCTTCACATTCAACCCAGAAAAGCAGAGCTTCCACTCAGAAACTGTTTTAGACCCTCCCTGGACTCATGAATTCTATACAAATTGGGTTGGACATATAAAGTTGCTATTTTGGTGGGTCAGAAATGGTAAAATGGAAATGTTTATGACTCTACCAAAATGCTTTTGTTGTGATATGTATCACTATTTTGCAGTTATATTTTTCTGTCTCCCATGGGGATATTCACTTCATAAGGACAAGAACTCTGTCAATTAAAGCTAACAACAGATAGTTATTGAGCTTCTCCTCTGTTCCCCATGCTGTGCTAAGTGTCAGGTGTACAAAAATGATGATCTGGACCCATGGCCCTTTCTTCATGAAGCTTACAGTCTGTTGGCTCTGCCCTACACATTTCCAGGAAAATAATTGTATGTCCAATGCCCCGTCTCTAGCTCAAAGTCGTTATTTCATAGTGTATGATAAATTAACAAGTGGGGAAAGGCCTGCATCTCTTGTAAGCTTTTCCCATCCTTGTAAGTGAATGACTTGTTTTTAGATCAGATGATTTCAGTGAGTAATTACTATTGGCAAACCTGTGTTTAGATCTTTCTGTCTTTGTGTCTCACTTTAAAGCATGATCACCAGAGGAACACTGCATCAAAAATCAGGTTTCAGAGAGCCACTTCCGGCATGAGAGCATGAGGGGTTTGCTGTCCTATTCCTCAGTGGGGCTGCTGAAATTTAGAGGGGTTGGGAGATGGGAAAACACTTCAGGTCTCTGGAAATGGCCCTAAGGGCATACAGAAAATTCAGCAACATCTATTCAAGAATATCTGCTAAAATTCAGAAAGAACCGTGAGTCTTTGTGGTACACGAATCGAGACCTCACCTTCACTCTCTCTCCCACATCAGCAAAGTGGAGACTGCAAATAAGTGCAGCCCATGGCTGTGGGGCTGTATTCCCAGGAGACGCAGGACATCAGAGCCCCTCATGCTGCCCCTACATGCCTGTTGCTTAGACTAAGTCCCGGGTGACTGTGGTTGAGACACAGGGTCTCCTTTATTTGACCCAGCCCTGACTCCTAGGGAAGGGTTCTACCTTACACATGGACACTGAAACACTGGGGCCACAATGACCCATCTTATCGTCCACAAGGTGGAGGCTTCACACTGAGAGTGAGACATCCCATCCCAGCCATGGAAACTGTCTGATTCAGCCACAGGAAACCCAAATTCAGAGTTGCTGCTCAGCAGCACCATGCGGTAAGAGGTTAGGTCCACAGGTCCCCTGGATCAGACTTGCTGCTCAGCAGTACCATGCGGTAAGAGGTTAGGTCCACAGGTCCCCTGGATCAGAGTTGCTGCTCAGCAGCACCATGTTGTAAGACGTTAGGTCCACAGGTCCCCTGGATCAGACTTGCTGCTCAGCAGTACCATGCGGTAAGAGGTTAGGTCCACAGGTCCCCTGGATCAGAGTTGCTGCTCAGCAGCACCATGTTGTAAGACGTTAGGTCCACAGGTCCCCTGGATCAGACTTGCTGCTCAGCAGTACCATGCGGTCAGAGGTTAGGTCCACAGGTCCCCCGGGTCAGAGTTGCTGCTCAGCAGCACCATGCAGTAAGAGGTTAGGTCCACAGGTCCCCTGGATCAGAGTTGCTGCTCAGCAGCACCATGCGGTAAGAGGTTAGGTCCACAGGTCCCCTGGGTCAGACTTGCTGCTCAGCAGTACCATGCGGTCAGAGGTTAGGTCCACAGGTCCCCTGGATCAGAGTTGCTGCTCAGCAGCACCATGCAGTAAGAGGTTAGGTCCACAGGTCCCCTGGATCAGAGTTGCTGCTCAGCAGCACCATGCGGTAAGAGGTTAGGTCCACAGGTCCCCTGGGTCAGACTTGCTGCTCAGCAGTACCATGCGGTCAGAGGTTAGGTCCACAGGTCCCCTGGATCAGAGTTGCTGCTCAGCAGCACCATGCAGTAAGAGGTTAGGTCCACAGGTCCCCTGGATCAGACTTGCTGCTCAGCAGTACCATGCGGTCAGAGGTTAGGTCCACAGGTCCCCTGGGTCAGACTTGCTGCTCAGCAGTACCATGCGGTCAGAGGTTAGGTCCACAGGTCCCCCGGGTCAGACTTGCTGCTCAGCAGTACCATGCGGTAAGAGGTTAGGTCCACGGGTCCCCTGGATCAGAGTTGCTGCACAGCAGCACCATGCGGTAAGAGGTTAGGTCCACAGGTCCCCCGGGTCAGACTTGCTGCTCAGCAGCACCATGCGGTAAGAGGTTAGGTCCACAGGTCCCCTGGATCAGACTTGCTGCTCAGCAGCACCATGCAGTAAGAGGTTAGGTCCACGGGTCCCCTGGATCAGACTTGCTGCTCAGCAGTACCATGCGGTCAGAGGTTAGGTCCACAGGTCCCCTGGATCAGACTTGCTGCTCAGCAGCACCATGCAGTAAGAGGTTAGGTCCACAGGTCCCCTGGATCAGAGTTGCTGCTCAGCAGTACCATGCGGTCAGAGGTTAGGTCCACAGGTCCCCTGGATCAGACTTGCTGCTCAGCAGTACCATGCGGTCAGAGGTTAGGTCCACAGGTCCCCTGGATCAGAGTTGCTGCTCAGCAGCACCATGCAGTAAGAGGTTAGGTCCACAGGTCCCCTGGATCAGACTTGCTGCTCAGCAGTACCATGCGGTCAGAGGTTAGGTCCACAGGTCCCCTGGGTCAGACTTGCTGCTCAGCAGTACCATGCGGTCAGAGGTTAGGTCCACAGGTCCCCCGGGTCAGACTTGCTGCTCAGCAGTACCATGCGGTAAGAGGTTAGGTCCACGGGTCCCCTGGATCAGAGTTGCTGCACAGCAGCACCATGCGGTAAGAGGTTAGGTCCACAGGTCCCCCGGGTCAGACTTGCTGCTCAGCAGCACCATGCGGTAAGAGGTTAGGTCCACAGGTCCCCTGGATCAGACTTGCTGCTCAGCAGCACCATGCAGTAAGAGGTTAGGTCCACAGGTCCCCTGGGGACAAGCACCTAGCTAAGCCTCCCACACCACTAGAACATGCCCTGAGGACCTCCCCTATTCTGATAGGTAGTAATTATTGTTTTCCAAAAATGAGGCAATTCTGGGCTTATGCTGCCATCTAGTGCTGAAAAGGAGGCAGCTACCTAACAGGAAAGAAAATCAACAGGTAATTTATAAAGATTCTCTAAGCTAAGCATGTCCAGCCCATGGCCAGTGGGTCTTAGGAGGCTCAGGATGGATCTGAATGCAGCCTAACACAAATCCATAAACTTTCTTAAAACAGTATCAGATTTGTGTGTGTGTGTGTGTGTGTGTGTGTGTGTGTCTGTGTGTGTTGGCTCATCAGCTATCGTTAGTGTTATGTATGTCCCAAGACAATTCTTCTAATGTGGCCCAGGTAAGCTAAAATGTTGGACACGCTGTACATCTAAGCAAGCATATTCAGTAAAAATGGAAACGGACCAGACAGAAAAGACTGGAATAAATAACTAACCCTTCAATGCACAAGCAT